ACTGTCTAGGTTGGAAGTTATTTTCTTTTAGGGCTTGAAATACTTCACTCCAGGCTCTCCTTGATTTGAGGGTTTGTATTGAGAAGTCTGCTGTGATTCTGATGGGCTTTTCTTTGTAAGTGATTTGTTTCTTTTCTCTAACTGCTTGTAGGATTTTGTTTTTCTGTTGGGTTTCTGGGATCTTGACTATTATATGTCTATGTGTAGATTTTTTAAATCATGGCTTGTTGAGGCATATAGAGCCTCACTTATCTGTATGTCCAATTCTCTACCTCTGTCTGGGAAGTTTCCCACTATTACTTCTGATTACTTCTGTCAACATTATTTTTTAATGTCAATTGTGCTTTCTCCTGTTTTTTCATGGACTCCTATGAGTCTTATGTTATTCTTCTTTGCATCATCTAGCAGCTGCTGGATTGATTTCTCATGGTTCCTTACTATTTTTCAAAATCTCTATTTTCATGGTTCTTAACCACAATCCTGTCTTCTATATCTGATATTCTATCTTCACATTCCCTTAATCTGCTTCGGATACTTTCAATGGAGTTTTTGGTCTCCTGAATATCTGTTTGAATCTGTTTCATGGATTCCATTTCTTATGTTGGGTGATCATGGTTTCCATTTCTTTCTTATGCTGGGTATTCATGGCTTCCAGCATGTTTCTGAGCTCTTCTATTTTTTATCTGTTTCTGTTCTAGTTCCTCTAATCATGTCTTTCACTCTGCTCACCATTTCTGTAGATATCTGGGAGATTATTTCTGCTTTAAATTTTTCTAGAGCCTCATTCATCTGTTTTGTTACTTTCTGTGCTATCAGTTCAGGGTATCCAGGTGGTTGGTTATGGAACTTTTCCATCTCATTTCCCCCAGGATTTACCCTTGGTGGGGTGGAAGTCTGAGTTTGTGCCTTGCTTAAATGTCTTCTCATTTTTGTTTTTGGCACTGTCCTTGGTTTAGCTCCTGGGTGATAGTTTGAAATTCCTTATTGTAGGTATCTTTGTTTCTTGTAATTAGAACCCTTATGGAATGATTGTTTCTCAGATGTGTCTTCCAGATACAGCTGGTCTTTAAGTTTTGAGTCTCTAATGACTCTAAGACTATCTCATTTTTCTTATACTAGGAAGGTTCATTGACTAGATCAATAACAACACCTTAGCCCAAGTGATACAATCAGCAACACCATTGCATCAAGTAATCTTCAAAAATGACATTTTGTGATAGTTATTAATCTATCACCTTTAGCTGTGTGAATTAAATCGAGATCGAGGACCAATCCAACATATAGTGAATAAACTCTTCAATATAATAACTTTACCCTTTGGGATGGGGAGTTAGAAGGGGTTGAGGAGGGAGGGA